AAAGCTCCTGGAATGGCAGTTTGGGGGCAGAAGCAGCACAGGCTGAGGAAAGACAAGGGCTTAGAAGAGGAAAGGGTACTTTTCTAACTAGACGCAGGCCATGTTAATTGACCTGTCAGGTGCTGTATTCAACTCTACGTATTATTATACATAGTATTGCTACACAAGTGGAAAAACAAAGGCATACAGAAAAATTAGTTTCTTTCTCTCTTTCTCTCTCTCTTTTTTTTCTTTTTTAAAAGATCATTCATCAGCTAAGAGGCATGGGTAGGGTCCAGAGTTCTTGGTCTCTTCAGTTCTTGGTCTCTGAAGTTCTCCTGCACCTCAGTTGGGACTGAAACAAGTTCAGGACTCTTCCAGAAGGCAAGAGGACTGCAGCAAGGTCCAGGCGAGAAGTCTCTCATCTGCTACTACTCATCTTGAGAATTTAGCTTTGTGGGAGGCCACGGTGCTCCTTGCTCCCAACCTTGTGGCCTACCTCATGCCTTCCCTCCAGGCAAGGGAGAGCCTTTGTGATAATCACTGAAAGTTTCTAGTGGACAGAATATGCTTCAAGACTCAAACGTTTCCAGGGGAAAGCGAAGTTTCTTTTTCACAAGTGTACCATAGGTGTCTAGTGTACTTCTGAGAGTCTAGTGTTCTGAGAGTTAATTATATACATTATATATATATATATATATATATATATATATATATATATATATATATTCCTTATCCCTTTTATCACTCTTTTATCCCGGGTGCTGAGGATTTATGCACCACAAATTAATGAATCTCTTTACTAGTACTGGACAGTCTTCTACTCCCAAATAATATTGCATTGCTATTCATGTTATTCTCTGTGCACGCAGACATTTGTGGATAAATTAATTTGCTACTCATAATATTGTAATCAATTGCCAAAATCTTCTCCCTTAAGGTTGAAAAAAAAATACTGCCTGACTTTTTCATTCCAATACTTCATCTTATTAAATGCATTAAACTTTTACTTAAATATGGGTTCTGCATACACATGCTGAAGCATGTGGCTCTGGTTTGTGTCTTTTTCTTTATTACAGAATGGCATTCAATTGTGTGAATGTACTACAGTTTGTCCACATACCTTCTGATGGACAGTTGGGGTTACGCTCCACAACATGTTTCAAGAGCTCTGTCTGGACTTGCCAGAGGTGAACTAGGCAGACTCCAGAGTCCCGGGCATGCTATGAGGAGAGGCACAGCATGCACCTTAGCTGTAATTAGTTCTACAAACACACCTGTTAGACTGTCTGATCTACCACAGGTATTTGCTGCTGAGTGAACCAACCATGAATCAGTAAGACGCTGTCTGAGGGCAGGGAATGCTGAACGTCAGTGTGGACACTTAGCAGTCTGCTGTTGATATCCTTAGGAAGTGCAGCACCTAAGGGGATCCACAGACACAGCTGTTCTCCAGAAAGCTCAACTGTCTGGGGCGGTTATTTTAAGATGGAAGTGTTTAGGTTGAGTGTGAATAGGCTTTTTGTTTGTTTGCAAAGGTAGCTTGAATCTAGGGCCTCGTATTTGCTATACCACTGAGACGAATCCCCAAGCCCCATATAACCTTTTATTGCTTTTAGATTTTGGTCACTCTTTTTTGTTGTTGTTTTGTTTATTTTGGGGGGGGTTTGTTTTGGTTTTTTGCTGTTGTTTTTTGAGACAGGGTTTCTCTGTAGCTTTGGAGCCTGTCCTAGAGCTAGCTCTTGTAGACCAGGCTGGCCTTGAACTCACAGAGATCTGCCTGCCTCTGCCTCCCGAGTGCTGGGATTAAAGGTGTGTGTGCACCACCACCGCCCATCTGGTCACTCTTTCAATTTATTAATTCAAAAAAATATGTCACTAGTTAGTTAGAGAAACTACATCAAGACTGGTTTTTCTACTCTAATGTAAATAGGGCCCTGTGAGTCATCTTTTGAGTAGAAGAAATAGTCCCAGCTCCCTAATGGCCACCGCACCCAGCTATATTTACAGAGTTAATTCATAAGTTTGCTCTGTGAAAGTGACACATCAGTTCTTTAAAGTTCAAGTTCAACTCTACATATCACGACAAAGAGGCAGCTTCATCTAAGAACTTTATAACGATACACTGGCATTCTTTAATATTGTGTCATGATGTGTTTTGTGGGTAGGGCAACAGAACATACCATGTATTAGAACACCTGAAGGAAAGTGGTCCCTACACCCCCGCCCCCCACCATCACCACGGTCAATACATTCCAAGACTTCCCCAGCTGTGTACTTAAAGAATACACAGCTTTACAAAGCAAAGTTTTTGTTTGTTTGTTTCTAGTTTGGCTTGCTGTATGACTCAGAATCAAGTGCTATCGGTTCTTGAAGCATCAATTCATGAGGACTGACGGTGTAGCTCAGAACACACCACTTCTTTTTTTGTGTGGGAAACACTAGGTTTTATTACCTCCACATCCTTGCCATCCTTAATTGGAAACTTACATTTCAAATGTATGGTTTAAAATGGATTGCTTACAAATCTCAGGCCACTGCCAGAATACACACCAAGGAAGTAAAAGCAGGTCATGATAAACACAACCCATTAATTCCATGTTTTGGAAGTCAGCAGCTTCTCCTTGTGGTCTCGTCTCTCATTTTCACCTCTCTTATCTTAAATTCACAAGTTTCTACTCACCTCTCAACTATTCTTTTTCATTTTAAAATGCTCTTTTTGTCTTCTCTTTCCCTGACCTATGGGATGTGCCCAAAATGGACCATTATTTAGCACTTCCCTCCTCTATATAAGAACATTATTGTTAATATTCATCATTCTTATTAATTTTAAACACAGGGGGTGTGCCCAAAATGGACCATTATTTAACAATTCCCTCCTTTGTAGAAGAACATTATTGTTAATTGTTAATATTCATTCTTATTATTAATTTTAACTGCAGGGTCTTACTGTGTAACCTAGGTTGAACTGAAATTTTTTTCCTACCTTAGTCTTCCAGAGGCTGTAATGGTAGGTGTCTTAGGGTTTCTATTGCTGCCACAAAACACCATGACCAAAACTATAAGTTGGGGTGTAAAGGGTTTATTTGGTTTATTCTTCCAGATCATAGTTGGAGGAAGTCTGAACAAGAACTCAAGCAGGGCTGGAACCTGGAGGCAGGAGCTGCTTACTGCCTTGCTCCCCCTGGCTTGCTCAGCCTGCTTTCTTACAGAACTCAGGACCACCAGTCCCAGGACAGCAACACACACAACGGGATGAACCCTACCCCACTGTCACTCTGAGAAAAATGCCTTACAGATGGATCTCATGGAGGCACTTTTTCAACTGAAGCTCCTTCCTCTCTGATGACTCTATTTTTTGTCAAGTTGACACAAAACCAGCCAGAACAGTAGGCTTTCTCACCACACCAAACAGGTATTGCTAATCTTTTACTGTGGGGAGTGAAATGTGAGTCCTCAAGCAAAGTTAGCACGCCCTCAATCATTGGGCTATATCCCTAGTCTAAGACAATTAGACAGGATTTTTACCCTCAACTCGTATTCAACTCCCTATGTAGACAAAGTTGACCTTGAACTGCTGAGCACCCTGCTTTCACCACCAGAGTGCTGGAACACACAACAGCAAGTGTAAGACAATTATTTTTATATTCATGAAACAAAATGCAAAATAATGTGAATCAGTAATATTTTAATGGTTTTGATTTTTATTATTATACAATTCAAACTTTTTCCCAATAAATTTAAACACAGTGCAAAAAAAAGAGAAAAACATAATAGGTCAATAGCCTTCTACAATGTGAACAGATATTTGAAGCTAGGTTGAGGTGGTTACAAGATGTTTAGAAAAATGCTGTAGTTCTCAAGAGCATGTACACACAGAATGATAGGACCAAACTTGCTTAGTTTGTGTCTTAACCATTTTACATTAATGGTGCTGTTATTATTCTGAATATGCTGTCAAACTCTAGGATTTAAAGTACTCAGGAGTTGAAGGCATGAACTGTGCTCAAATCAATTTACAACCTTGTGAGTGTACTCTATATACCACCAGACATGTGAATGTACTCTATATACCACAAGACATGTGAGTGTACTCTATATACCACCAGACATGGAAAGCTGGGTCCTTGTATGTGGGGGACAAGTATGTAAGACCAGATAAACTCATCAAAAGAGTGAAATGAGGCAGGGCACAGTGGCACAGTCAGCTGGATCTCTGAGTTCAAGGTAAGCCTGTTCTACAAAGTAAGTTCCAGAACAGTCAGGGTTGCATAGAAACCTTTTCTCAAAAAATAAGTAACAGTAACAAAACAGTAGAAAATAAAAAAGTGAGTCAGGTGGAGGTGGCACATATCTTTAATCCCAGCACTCTGGAGGCATACACAGGCAGATCTCTGTGATTTTGAGGTCTACAGAGTGAGTTCCAGGACAGCCAAGGCTACAGAGCAAAACTCTGTCTTGAAGAAAAAAAAAAGAATATGTGTGTGTGTGTGTGTGTGTGTAGAGAATTAATTAAAATGATTTCTAATTTTTTTATAATGTACTCTTAGACAATTAAATCTGAAAACTATGAGACGTTGCTGAAATAAGTTGAAATCAATAAAATTATCTAGGTATAAGGACTGGAAGAATTAATTTCATCAAATTAATGATCATACTATCCAACAGAATGCAATGCAGTGTCTTTAAAAAGCGCAACAACAATTTCTATAGCCATAGGAAAAACTCTGAAACTTCACTAAGCTAATAAACATTACATTTTCTGATCTCAACCTGTATCATATCACAAGGCTATAATAATCAAATGTACAAGATGCTGGACATAAAGGTAGATAATGGACCGATAAAATAAAAGACAGAGATGCACACATTTAGTACCAGCATTTAGGAAGCAGAGGCAGGCAGATGGATCTCTGTAAGTTCAAGGCCAACATGGCCTACAAACTAAGTTCCAGGAAAGTCAAGGCTACACAGAGAAACCCTGCCTCAAAAAGCCAAAAGCAAACAAACAATAATAATAATAATAAATGTGTAAAATATTTAATAAGAGATGATAAAACAGGTAATACAGCTCACTACCAAAAACAAAGATCAGGATGTGCTAGATCAAAGCTTGGCCACTTACTAATATTTAATAGAAAACTAGACTATTGATTTATCAACTAGCCCAGTGGGTCTCAATCTTGTCACTCTTGAATCTGATGAGACATTTGACAATATCTGGAGACTCTAATGGCTGTTAGCAGAAGGAAGGGTATGGTACTGAGGTTAAGCAGTAGGGGCCCAAAGCACATTTGAGAGCACTGTCCAGTAACGGACTACTTGGCCTAAGCACAGAAAAGGAATGAGATCTTGTCTTCAGCGCCCAGAGCATTTTTCAGGGATTCCTGCTTCGCTACCATGTTGAGATCGGTCCCACACACTCATCATAAAAGCAGGCAGATTTGTCTGTACAGTATTTGAGAAAAGGCCTATTCACTACCTATTTCAGTCTGGCCCGTAACTGGTCTAGTTCCTAAATGCTGGGATTACAAGCATAGACCACTAAGTCAGCCTCTTCCTGACAGTTCAACAATTTTAGACAATGTGTACCTTGCTGGCCACATTAGGGGTAACCATTCACATATAAGTCCAGAGCTCCATTCACCATTCTTTTTTGTTTTCCTTAATGAAGTAGATGCAAGTCAGGTTAAATCAGTTCTGACTTAAACACCACTCAATGGTGGTTAAATAACAGAGCTTGTTTAGCAGGAGTGTCACTGACAGCTAGTAAATTTCTTGCTTCTCTTTTTTTCAAAGCAATTGACCACATTTACCATCATCAGTTGATGTTTTGATTGTTTCTATTCTAAAATGCTCTCAACATTTTTTGATGCATTTTGTGTTGATATGTTTGGTTTTGTTATAACTATTTATTTTAGTTTGTGTTTATAATCTGATTGTGCCACAGTATGGATGTAGAAATCAAAGGACAGAGTTCAGGGGTCAGTTCTTACTTTCTGCTATGTGGATTCTTGAGGTCACATTCAGGTCATTAGGCTGAGTGGCTGAATCATCCCAATAGTTCTTTTTTTTTTTTTTTTTAATTACATGTATAGCCAGGCAGTGGTGGCATACACCTTTAATCCCAACACTCAGGAAGCAGAGGCAGCCTTGTTCTACGGAGTGAGTTCCAGGGCAGTCATGCCTACACAGAGAAACCCTGACTGGAAAGACAAAAGCTAACACGGATTTATTTCAGGGTTGTGTGTGGAGGCCAGAGTTAGTTCTTTCCGTTATGTTTCAGGATTAAACTTGGGTTCTGCATTTCATCTGCACCACTGTTGCTGTTTACCAAAGTAGCTGCTTTGCCACAATGAAAGCAAACGCCATATGGAGATTCTTCAATGCCCATATTATGAAGCAGATGAAGCTTCATATGAAGCAGATTGGTGCTGCCAGGAGCAGATGTGTCTCCCTGTCATGAAAAGCCTTAGATTATTAAAGATCTTAAAAGTCATATAATATAGGTCTCTGAAACGTTTGAAGACCATCTATCTATCAAAAATATATCTGTTTAACCTTGAAACATACTTAACAAGACTACAAGTTTGAATGTTAAAGATGGATAACTACTAATCTGCATTTGTAAAATTATCCTAGCCAGTTTTAATAATAGCTTTCAAGGAATAAAACTTTATATTACATTTTAAAACGAGCTGCACAGGTATAATACTTTCTACAGGAATATATATATACGTGTGTGTATATATATATATTTATATACACACACATATATATAACCAAAAATAACCTTAAGTTTGTACCAATATACAAAATACATACGAATGTAAAACACTGGAGATGAATACTTGTCTTTTTATCTCATATTCCTATATCCCCACTAAACAACGACAAGAATTCATAACCCACCAAATAACAAAAAACCACCCTCCCCACCCTTGAGAAGGCAGACGTTGTGTTTTCTAGACTGCTTCCTCAAGTCTGGGAGTGACTGCATCCCCAGGGGATGCTGAGAAAATTGAGATAATGTTCAAGTCCTAAGAAAACTGGCTCTAAGTCTCTGTGTAATGGAGAAGTGCAAGACTTATCTGAAATCCTGGATAGAATAGTCTGTGAGGCTGGACCATCTTAGCTAGCAGCCTTGAAGTTGTTCTGAATACAGAACTCTGGGGGGACTGCAATAGAGGCACTCTGAAAGGTTGGAACACCAGGGCCACCCATTTTCATTCGTATCTGGTCCCCTTGCTCTGAAAACACACGAACTTTCAAAGGTAATATACACATCTGCATTAACATAAATACAATGTTGGTTCTACACAAGCCAGCCAAAGATAAATTTTTTGCTTTATATTTGAGCAAGTAAAAGACATCTGTCAACTTATGTTTGCTTGGATTGTATAACCAAACTTCTATCCATGCCTTATGAAATAAAGGCATGTAATAATAATAATAATAAGTTACGAGGATTCTATAACCAACAAGAATTATCTTGTCTCACCCAGGCTCAGAGCTGTTCCCATGTCAACGGATCAGCATGTATGTCTCCTGTTTTGCGGATTTTCTTGGTTTATTTTTTCATGTCTGTAGTCAAGATTTTCAGATTTTGATTCTTCCCCAATCAAATCTGGTCTCTACTAATTTTGAAAAACCCACATCCTTCATTTTCTGTGGAAACAAAAGCATAAGCTGTCCCCCAACACAAAACATCTCTGAATTCCATTTTAAAGTTAAGACATCCCTAAAGTATCTAGGCTAGTTTAATTCATCGCCTACTTTTATAATCCCATGTCTCTCAGCAGCTGTCATTTGTACATCAGCATTCAAAACAATTCCAAGTCAGCAAAGACCCATACAGGATCCAGACTCCCTGTGGATTTCCCATCTTTACGTGGCTTTTATTTATTTATCTGCATTTTATTTATTTTGGTTTTTTGAGACAGGGTTTCTCTGTAGCTTTGGGGCCTGTCCTGGAACTAGCTCTTGTAGACCAGGCTGGCCTCAGACTCCCAGAGAGCTACCGGCTTCTGCCTCCCAAGTGCTGAGATTAAAGGCGTGCACCACCACCGCCCAGCACGTGGCTTTTAAAAAGAAACATTATTTTACTCTTCTTTAAAGACTTTACTTGTCCAGTAGTGGTGGCACATGCCTTTAATCCCAGCATCAGGAGGCAGTGGCAGGCGGATCTCTGTGAGTTCAAGGCAAGTCTGGTCTACAAAGAGAGTTCTAGGACAGGCTCCAAAGCTAGAGAAACCCATCTTGAAAAACAAAGCAAAGAAAAAAAGACTTTACTTAATTGTTTTTTTAACTATTTTTTCCTATGACTGTCTAACCCATCTCTTTTTCTGTTCTTAAGCATCTACACATACTGTACCTATTTAAGTTTTTCAGTCTGGACCTGTTTCATTGTGTACCTGTAGTGTTCTCTGACCATATGAGCCAAACCTTAACCTGCTAAGCCACAGCTAGGCTCTCCACCATGTGGCTTTGATGGTTGGCTCTGCCCCCTCCTCAGGTCCAGGAGAGCCAAGCCTTAAGCCTGTAGATGTGGCTGAGAGCTGAATTTAGCCAAGATCTGTGTTTAACTGCATTTAACCACCCCACCTCTAGTAAGCCAGCTGCTTGCTGCTTCTACTCAATATGCCAGTTGCTCAAGAGTTCTGCTGCACAGCAGCACCTCGTAAAGGAGCCGGACCCATGTTTCTCTTTTGCCAGCTTTCTCAGACCCTATGTGGAATTTTGGGCACCCTTTGTAGTTGGGATGTCTTTGGATGGCCAATCTGCTTCCCAAATAAAGATACAGAGATTCACTATGAATTATGTTCACCATTAGCTTAGGCTTGTCCACTAGCTCTTTTAACTTAATATAGCCTGCTTTTATTCATCTACATCTTGCCTCGGGGCTTTTTACCTTTCTTTCATTTTGTATGTCTTACTTTCCTGCTTCCTCTGGATCTTTCTGTCTGGCCTCTGGCATCTCCTTTCTTTCTTCCTTGAGCCTAAGTTCCTACTCCTATTTACTCTCCCTGCCTGGAAGTTTCACCTATACCTCCTCCCTTGCTACTGGTCATTCAGCTTTTTATTAGACCAATCAGGTGCCTTAGACAGGCAAGGTAAAACAGCATCACATCTTTACATAGATATTACTCAACACCTACTTCTTCAGAATTCCAGGATATATTGAAGGCCAGAATAAACAGCCGGTCTCATGGACCAGACAACTATTGGATTCCTGGACTTTCTGTTGGGAGACAGCCATTGTTTCACCAAAGCCTATAAACCATATGAATCATATATATATTTCTATCAGTTTTGTTTCTCTAGAGAATCCTAACTAATACAGTAAGTCTGTGTGTTGGTAAACAAGCATGTGTTTATAGGAATCTCAGACGTCCAGAAGAGAGCATCAGATCCCTCGAAACTACAGTTACAGGTGCTTGTGACCAGTCTGATGTAAGCGCTTGGAACTGAAAACCTGGGTCTTCTGCTTGCAGCAATGTGTTCTTAACTACGAAGTGAGTCATCTCTGCGGTCCCTTGCTTAAATTCTTCTATCAAATAGTCTGTTGTTTAAATATATAATTACATTTGGTCACCCATTCATTAGCTGAAGCCTACTTGGACTCTCCACCTTTTTAGTTGTGGTGAATTGTGTTTTATAAGCATTGGTACACTTTATTTATTATCGTTGTTAGTTACTATTACTATTACCCTGTTTCTGAGACAGGGTCTCTCTACATAGTACCGGAATTCATAATGTTTCAGGACAGCCTCAAACTTAGAGATCTGCCTACCACTGCCTCCCAAGTATTAAAATTAAAGGTACATGCCACCCCACTTGGAATTTGTACACTTTTGTTGGTGACATGTTTTCGTTTCTCTGGGGGTGAAATTGCTGGGCCATGCAGGAACAACTATGTTGACTCTTAGGATAAATCCCTGAACCTTTTTCTCCAAGAGGCCACACCATTACAGTTCCTTGCCAACATTTGCTTTTGTCATTTTAAATTTTGGCAAGCCTAGTGCACATTATAATTTGATTTGAATTCCTCTTGACTAGTGAAATTGAGGATGTTCTAATGTGCTTTTTAGCTATTTCTGCATACTTTTGCAGAAATGCTTTCCACATTTTTATTCTTTTGAAAATGGTGGCACAAGCCTTTAATCCCAGTATTGTCTGAGTTCAAGGTCAGCCTAATCTATAGAGCAAGTTCTAGGACAGTCAGGGCTATAGAGAAACGGTGCCTTGGAAAAAAACCCAACAAAACAAAATTTATTTATACATTCTGGATACTTATCTTTATATGACTTACAAATACTTCCTCAAATTCTGTGTTTTCTTCTCAGTGTCTCATGAGAATAATGAAGGTTTGATGGCAAGCGCTTTTCCCCACTGAGTCATCTCACTGGCCTGGAATTTCTCTGAATTTTCAATTGTTTATGGATAGCAATGCAGAAATGTTTCTAAATCCCTAATACTGTTGAAGATACATGAAATATGAAAACGATAACACTGCTTCTTTAGAATTTGCATTTAAAATTATTTTATTTAATTTTTTTTGAATCAGGCTCTTGTTAAGTCCAGAACTCACAATCCTCCTGTCTCAGCCTAAGTGCTAAGATGAATTACATCTAGCTATAACTTTTTGTTTCTAGCAACTTTATTATTCTGTTTTATTAGCATTCAATAATTATACATAGTAATATGTTTCATCATGCCATTTTTTTTAAAATTTTATTTTATGTGTATTGATGTTTTGCCTGCATGTATGTCTGTGTGAGGATGCCAGGTCCCCTGGAAATGGAGTTACAGTTGTGAACAACCATGTGGGTTCTGGGAATTAAACCCAGATCCTCTGGAAGACCAGTCAGTGCTCTTAATGGCTGAGCCATCTTTTCAGCCCCTCATTATGCCATTTTTATACATGATTACAATGTGATTACAATGTTTCTTGATCATGTTCACCCCATTATGTCTTCCTGTTGACTTCCTTCTCCCATTGATCACTTCTCTTTCCAGTATAACCTTGTGGTTTTATTCTGCTCACCCCAGTGGTGACTCAGTGAGTTTCATAGGAATGTATCTTACAGGAGCATAGATGAAAGATTATTTACATGAGTAGAGGCACCTTACCAGTGGCTGCACCTGTTGGAAGAGGCCGCTAGTTAGTTCCCATCCCCTTAGCCCCGAAATAATCACACAGAAACTGTATTAATTAAATTACTGCCTGGCCCATTAGCTCTAGCTTCTTATTGGCTAACTCTTACATATTAATTTAACCCATTTCTAATAATCTGTGTATCGCCGTGTGGCTGTGGCTTACTGGCTAAAGTTCCAACATCTGTCTCTGGTGGACTCTGCCTTCTCTTTGCCTCTGCCTTCTTGCTCCCCAGCATTCAGTTTAGTTTTCCCTACCTACTTCTATTCCCTGAGCAGGCCAAAGACAGTTTCTTTATTAACCAATGGTATTTACACCATACAGAGGGGTCTCACATCATATACCACTGGAGAAAGCATCTCTCCCTTCATGAATTATCACCATTTGTCAGTAAATACTCAAGGAAGGGTCTTCACAAGTCTCTAATATTCATTCATGACAGAATGTTGATGGTCCCTATTTTGTGCAGGTCTTGTGCACACAATCACAGGAATTGAGAGCTTAAGAATGCTACATTCACTTCATGCCTAGATGATAGCAGTCCACAACACCCTCTGTCTCCCAGTCCTCTGGCTCTTTCCATCCTCTATTCTTAACCTTGGAGGGGTGACACAGATGTACCACTTCTGGCTAATCATCCACCAGTCATTTATTCTTAGCACTTTGGTCCACTGTGAGTCCGTAGACAACACTGATCGCTGCAAAAAGCATCTACTCTGATCAAAGCTGACAACAGTATTAATCTATGGGGCATAAACACAATTATTTAAAAGGCAGTTTGTCAGGTACTTCATCTTCATTTAGCAGAACAGCTATAGTTTCCATGTCAGAATATATGGCCTCTCTAGCCAGATGCTTTGACCAGGTTTACAATGTTGGATGTGAATTCCCTCCTGTGGAGTAAGCCTGAAAACTAATCAGGAAGTCATCGGTTACACTCACAGCAGATTTGCCACTGCTATACAAGTGGGCACATGTTGCCTGGTCAGTACTGTACCCTGCAGTACCCACAGCTGAGTAAGAGTACTGATGGTTTTTCTTCCTCAGCAGCCAGCACAGCACTTCATAGGACTATGAGGTTCAACCGGGAGTAGGGAAGCTTCCATGTCAGTTCCAGCTTGGTTTTTCTGTGTTCTATTATTACAGAACATTACATACCAAAACTTAAAAACAAAATCTGTAACTTAACAAAAGCTGGCTGAGATTATTTCTTGGTGATGTTCACTTTTTTTTTAATCTTAAAATGGGATAGTAACATTGTTATTGGGAACATCAATATAGGGAAAGAAAAGAAGCATTCACACAGCACTTGTCTTTGGTTAGCTCCCAGACCATGGGATATGGAATCAAAAATAGGAGGTGACAACAGGCTCCAACACATGAATGTAAATGGATTTGAAAAAATGTTAAGAAATATTTTGAAAGAGTTCTTTATTTACAATATTGTTTTAAATGTAAGTTAGTGTTTAAACTCAAACACACACAAACATTGGAGATTTCAAAAGCTGCT